ATAAAAATATTAATGATAAAATATAAAACTGAGTAAACAGAAATGGGAAACCATTTTTTTGCAAAGGCAATTAGCTGTTTGATGATATTTGACCACAGATACATTTGTAGAGAGTCTTGAAAGAGTATTGGCAATCAAAATTCAACTCTAATAAAAAACAATGAATAATAAAAATGAAGCACCCATAAAGGGATACAATAAATTATCAGGATACAATGTTTCATAATGTTTCTATGATAATGTGAATCCAGACATTATTATAAAAGCCACATATTCATCTATACTGAAAAAGAATTCACAAAGTAGAACATCATATTGGAAATGTGAACTATCAAGAAACCTTAGAAAATCACTCAATTCTAGATAAATAATCATTTTTTCAGCTAGCGCTAATTTTTGAAAGACTTTCAATTAGAACTACATATTTTCTAGGCTGATCACTAAACTTATGTGAAAATTCAGTGCTCCGGTCCACTTTCAAAGATTCGGTCACACAATAGTCAAAGAATCGATTAATTTAGGGACTCATTTCTGGTATTTTCTTGAAATAAAAGTTTTATAACGGGTGCATAAAGGCCCGCAACATAGGATCATAGAAAAAAGAAGTAATTTTACAAGTGTTCATTGCCAGAAGTGAGTTTCTTTTGAACAGTTTCGACTTATCAATGGACGTATCTCTGAAAGTAATGTAAAGCTTAGTCAGCAGACAAAAAGACATGATTCTAATTTAAAAATGTTTCGAAAACTAACATGAACCAGTGAAATAAATACTTACCCTATGACAGAAAATTATCAGCAAATTACTGTTACTAAAATTTTTTTTGGGTTTGTGAATATAAAGCCTTACTGTGTTGAAACTCAATTACCTATTTTTGCCCATGAGCAGTACCCTGAGGTTCTCTAACTTGTCAAGACAACACAACCGCTCCAGCTGGTTATCATACATATCTAGAAAAACTAAGGTGGGAAACGTCTGCTTGCTCAACATCTCTAAACTATTTATCAAATTGTGCTGCAGTGATAGCAGCCTAAGCCTAGGTTCCCCATCGATGATGGGAATTGACACTAATCCTCGCCTATCCAGGCTTATACGGTCCGGCTGCGTTTCTTTCTCTTCTTGTAGACGTGAAACATGTAGCAGTCCATCGGTATGCGTCCGCAACAGCGCAGGCTCACAGAGCGAAGAGGTGTCATGTTGCCCTTTCGTTAGGGCCGAAGCATTCAAAGTACTGTGTGATCTCACGTACAAGCCCCGCTTGTCTTTTACTGACAAGGCTGGGGCTATTTTCAGAAGGTTTTTCTCGGCCTGCTGGTCATTCTGATCAATACTCTTCACATGAGTCTGTAGCCTGAAGGACTTTTTCTTTTCCTGAAACAGAGTTTGATAGCTGGACAGTCCTTCTGGGGCTGATGTTACTTACGACGGTAGCAGCGGTACTGCTAATTGGCATTTATGATCCATATATGTTCAAGTGTGTTTATTTTGTCATATATTGTATTGTTTCTATCAGTATTTCAGAAATATTATGACATTTCTGACGTTTTTATTTGTTGTGGTTATGCAATTATAACCTATATATCATATAAACGTGACTATGAACCCGGCAAAGGTTAACGGTATCGTAAAAATTAGTAAACCGAGATATATTTAAGAGGAGAATCCTATCATATTATTTACTCACTAAACTGTAGATATCAAAATTTGAGTTTGAATTATTTGTTTCTACCATAATACGACAGTAATTTTACGTTAAAGCTACATAAATCCAAGTCACAGCTATATGTCATTCAAAAGAGCGAAAATGAAATGAATTTATGACTTGATGAGATCACTACATATCCACACCAACAATGAAATACTTTTTTCAACTATCATGAAAAAAGTTAGAATGTTTTGTGCGATACGATATGCCAAATATTTCATTTTTTACACTACTGCAAAAAATGATTTGATCTATATTATCCTATTATCAGCTTGTATGCATGGAAATTTACTCGATTCGAAACAACTCACTCAGTACTTTGTATACAAATCAAACATTATCAAACCTGAAATCATCCAGCCACACATTGTAGTTGAGCGAAATGCCCAAAATCTCATATTCGATTTTATGTTTTGTGACATATGTATTTTTTATAAATCGGAAACGAAGTTTCACCATAGTCACCTTCAATATAATTTTGTAATCAGAGCAGCAAGACTATTCTACGGTTTTTTATCAAGCAACCTATTTACTGCTTCTGATAGGTACCACTCCCGCAAGTAATACGAAGTTGTCGGTTTACAATTTTAATATTTTATTGTAAACATGTTTTTCATATAATTGTAACAGCAAATATAGCAAGAGCAGATTTATTACCCGAAAAATCTAAAAAAGTACACTAAACTTGGACTAAATTGTACTTTATGGGAAAAACTGAAATAGCGAGTCAAACAAAGCGAGCAAAAGAAATGCACATTTTGCACTAGTTACACAAATAACTATACCCCTGGTTAATTATGTGTTCGTGTAGAAAGAATCATTCATTGTCAGAGTACTATTCATATTCTTGATATTCTTACTTATATCACCGTATAGAAGTATAACAGTGTTTACTTCTATACGATGCTTATATTCATTAAAACAATAGCCTGAAATGTGGCCATCACTCGTGAGAATGATGTTTGTCGACACGAGCCGATGGCAAGCGTGAAAAAAGTCCATAACAAAAAGCAACCTAGCAGTTAATTAGCGCAGTAGTAGCGCGCGCGACTCATTGAAAGGCCGTGAGTTCGATTCTTACCTCGACTAGCTATTTTTCTCAAAAGAATCTATCTAGTTGAAATTGCAACGATACATGGCTGAATAGCCATGTCTGTCGGATACAATCCAATATACGTCGTGGTATTAACCGGGGAAGTGGTTGTTTTTAGGCAGGCATTTACCAGAGATGTTATTTCGAAATATTTATTTTCTAATGATGTCCAATGAACCTAAGAAATACTCGTAAAATTGTTCTATAAACGTCATCTTTGATCGAGCCTCGTGACCAATTCAAATATAAGGAACTGGTAAGTGAAGTTTATATGTCACCGATTTTAGGACATACACCAGGAAACGAAGAAGAGAGAAAGTGAGGTTGAAGTTAACCAAAAACCAAAGGGAGTTAAATTCAAAATTATACCTTTATTTTTATCAACACACACTTGGAATTTCTTGAAAAATGAGTATTTGTAGTGCATATTGCTTGCTAACCATCAGAAGGTCCTCTTTGATTCCCTTCCAGTTATCATTCCCCAAAAATAATTATGCAAAGAAAGAATCGGGAAGTAAGTGAACCTCATTTCAAAACATACATCCGAATTGACCGACTAATTTCAGGCATCAGCATGATTGGCGGAGCTCTAAAAAAGAAGAAAATAGGTAAAACAGGGCCTGTGATGGAGAAGAAAGTGCTGCCAGTCGAAACTGACCCCGAGAGGCTGATCAATTATGCTTGCGGAACAAATATATTCAAAACAGGAGAGGATGTGCTCCTGAAGCCAGATGAAGAGTACCCTGACTGGCTTTGGAATATAAAAACTGGACCGCCTCCCCCTTTGGAAGAATTAGACCCAAATTCCAAAGAGTATTGGAGGAGGATACGCAAAATGGCTATGCGAAGGAACAATCAGCTGGCCCAAACTAAAAAGTTCTGAAGTGTTGATTTGTTGTGGTGTGCAAGGTACTTCAACCATAAACTAATAAGAATGATGACGTAAAATGCAAATATATGTAAATATTCGTTTTCCGCCTCGCTATAGTTTTTGAGAAAATTTTAATTATACTTCTGTATTTTTGTTCTCTGATTATGTATCTAAAGTCAAAATTTTGCGCTATGATCTAATTTTGAAGATATAGACATTTAAAAGTAAAAAATCAAATATTTGAGGAAGTCACTTCCTAACATGAGTTCTCATGCCTTCTGTTCTGCAGACCTTCAATCACCTATTTCAAATGTTTCTTTGAAGGTGATTAACAATGTTTCATGGT